TTAGGCAATTCATCGTCTTTCTAAATTTTAACGCGTCTTAGGGCCGTAGTGCGGTAGTGACACTTTTCCGGACATGGGTCCCTATACTCAAATGTTTTCTACTGTTGCACTGAATAACCCCTAGAAGTTTGATTTCATAGTTCTGAAACACCCTGTATATGATCTAAGCAGTGAGCCGCGCGGATCGCCCACGCACATCAGGCGCGTCGTTTACTGACGTGCGTTCGCCTAAAGGTCGGCGCTGACTGGCTTGATTTATTCAATAATTACTCCTCTATTATATGTAACAGAAAAAAAAAAAAAAAAGTTTCAGAATTTTTTGTCTCAGTTTTACTTTTTCTACCTGCTTACGGGAGATTTTGAAGTAATTTATGGTCGGATACCCTGTATACATATGTAACTAATATAAACAAAAACGTGGTTGCTTTATCATGTTGCAAATCACTTTATTAATTTATTAAAATTGAACAAAGATATGTATTTATTTATACGTATTTTCAGATAATTAAGTGTATTGATTTATTTTACACTACGCTTGAAAATAATAATCGATACTCAAGAATCATAACTGTTAACAAATAGCTTAAAAAAAAAAATTTTTTTTAAATAATAAAAAATAATAATAATAATAGTTGTCAGTCTTCTGATGTTCTGATAAGTTTTTTTTTTTATTATTGTTAAGTAGCTGCCGTGCACAATTTTAGAGAATGTGACCTGAATTTTCGTTTATAGATTTCGATATATTTTTCACCGTTTTGTACACTACCAGCGCTAAAATCAGTTCCGTACTCTAAATGTTTCCTGGAAGTGTTGGTCTATTTAGTTCGTCGCTTAGTAATAAGTGCAAAGATCTATAACACCATCACCGACATTCGTTATATGGAAATTGTTAGAATTATTAGTTTTCTTGTATTACATGGAATTGATACATGCCCAAGTGTGATTTTTGTTATATATTTATTGTTTTATACATTCACCGTATAGAAGTCTCATTAATACTGATGTCGCCGGAAACGGAAAATTTTATACATATCAAAACGCGGGATAACCGTTTCAGCGAAAGATACTCGGACGTTTGTTTAGTTAAACGAGTATTTCTGTGATATATCGGCGACTCGGATAGTTACGTATATTCCCGGCAAACGCTTCGATACAAAAGAATATTGTTAAACAATGGCGTCAATTTGCCTTTGTTCGTCCATTTATGTTTTATCGAAAACTCTCGATCTCGAGATCGACCTCGAGTCACCCAGGCGCACCCTTCCTGATCGTTCTCTTTTGTCGCAAAATCGTATCAGAAAAATGAAGCTTTGTGCAATAAGTTTCCTCAAAAAAGACTGTCAACATTGTGGTAGAAAAGATTTTCCCCGATCTTGCGGATTCAGAGTCGTTGTCGCACATCTCTTGGAATGTGTATGCAGTTTTAAACTGGTCCGTCTGCGTGGTTTTTCTTTCCGCGATTACAAATGTGTAGAGGCAAATTTAGTTCTATTTTTTAATATAGTATATATACTACACAAAAATTGTCGTCCTGTACTACGTAGGATTGTTTTCACGTCATACATGCTTCTTTTGCTGACGAACCTTCGTCGCCTTACAAAAGCGTACACTTTCTCTTCTTGACCGGCTCGGGCGGCTCTAGCGCGGCCAGAATAGCTTCGTCAAAGACGTTTTTTAAACCTTTCTAAAAAGTCAGAGCAAGAACTGCATCATATTCTATTAATGTTATATACTGAAACAAAAGTTTTTGAGGGAATAAAAAGTTAGTTTCTACTCACCTGTGTCAAAGCACTGCACTCTACATACTTTACAGCTTTCAGTTCCTTGGCGAGTTTTTCACCTTGTTCCCCGGATATTGGTTTCTGCTTGTTTTTTGCAAGCTTTTCTGTTGTTGCCAAATCATCTCTCAAATCAATTTGTGTGCCAACAAGTAAAAATGGAGTTCTCTGACAGTGATGTGTTATTTCAGGCACCCACTGAGAACAAATTTTACAAATTACATGAGTTAATATATATACACGAAACTCATTTTAATATTATGTGTGTGTGCGTATTTATATATATATATATATATATATTAAATGTATACATATAATGAAGAAAAATAATGTATTACCTTCTCTTTTACATTTTCAAATGATGATGGTGATACAACAGAAAAACATACCAGAAAAACATCAGTCTGAGGATAACTTAAAGGTCGCAGTCTGTCGTAATCTTCCTGACCTAAAAATCAAAAATTATTATATTCAAATTACTATCTTTTTGAATTAAACACTCTAAACAGAGAACATTTATAAAAAAAAAAAAAAAAAAAAATGAAATCTTACCAGCTGTGTCAAATAATCCTAATGTATACGGATCACCTCCTATCATTACAGTAACTGCGTAATTGTCGAAAACAGTAGGCACATATTCAGAAGGAAACTTGTTGGTGGTATAAGAAATAAGAAGACATGTTTTACCAACTGCTCCATCACCTACTACAACACACTTTATTGTCTGCATTTTGACTCTCTCGCTCTTTCTCTCTCTCTCTCTCTCTCTTTCTCTCTTTCTCTCTCTCTCTCTATATATATATATATATATATATATATATGATCTACAACACATTTGTATTTAAATATGATTACAAGTTATATTTAAATATATACAATTAAAGAACACAGTCGATACTCACTCAAACTTTTAATATTTAAATGCATATAAAACAATATTACACACACATATGTACATAAAGCAACATTTCAACACAATTAATACTTGATGATATAAATTGTAGTCTGTTTATTTTATTCCTATCTAATTTCGCTTACCCAATTTTGCATATAAAACAATATTACACATATATATGTACATAAAGTAACATTTCAATAAATCTAATATTTGAAGATATAAATTGTAGTCTGTTTATTTTATTCCTATCTAATTTTGCTTCTCCAATTTTACAATGTGTAAATTCTATCAAGGCACTTGAACATATATTTTTTCTAATAAAGTATATATCTTAAACTTTTTATCAACAGTATGACGATATAATCGATATTATAAATACAAGAAAACAATATTGATATGAAACATAGATCAATGACAAAATTTTCTCTCTCTCCTTTGTTTTTTTTGTTTTTTTTTTGTTTTTTGTTTTGCTACAATAATGCTCTTTTTCATTTCTACTAATACATTAGAAATTAAACAATTGAAGAAGTATAGTTAATAAAGTGATAACTCTTCATTTCAAATTAGTGATATTAAGAGAACTGCTTTCGTGGCCCGCTTTTAACCTAACCTAAACGTAGACGTATTTGCAATGCAAACAGATATATGAATGCAAAACGTCGCCATGAAAACGAGCCAAGGAACTTTCGAAACATAACACGGACGCGAATATCGAGAGATTTGAATTTCGTACATGGAGTTTTTGTTGTATCATATAGGATATTGTGCGAAATATTTACCTGAATTTGCGAGGCTGTCAGTTAAGTTTAAGACCGTTCATAATCGCAAACGGCGCAACGGAAAGCGGCTTCGGGCGTGCCGGCAAATAGATGCAGTGTGTCCACAAATCACGTTTAACGGTTATTACGAGATTGCAAAATTGCCGCGAGCCAACATTCCAAAAAAAATATTTTAGAAATGTCTTTTTATCGTAAACTGCACGATAATGTGCGACGTACTTTTATCTTCTCGGTGACGAATGACAGGCTACGATCTTCAAGCTTCGAGCAAGATACGTAGACACTTAAAGGTCTATTTATAAGACTCAGATGCGGTGTGCAAGTCGCGGGTCTCGTGTAATGACTAATCGCGTTGGTTGATTGATTGATTTGATCAATGTGATTGGTCAATTCCTTGAGACCTATTATTTTTGACTAGCGTCTGCGTCTAAAGGACCGTCTACAATGAAGGTAGTAAGGCTGTGAGAGAGTGGAGTAAGGTTCTTGAAGTTATTTCATTTTTGTCTATGCAAGTAATTATTTCGCGGTTTTTAACACACGTCTTTCATTAGCTAACGGTAAGGCAGTAGGCAGTGCGAAATGAGAATTGCCCATTTCGTTATTCTCGTTGTTTCTTCACCGAAAATTATTCAGATAACCAAGACTGAATGAGCATATTTTGCAAAGTCTGCAATAACACATTATGCCAGTACAATGTAGCCAGCATTCAAACATAATCTGTTTGTATTTCAACTAGTGTCGACAGAAAAACAAAAAAAAGGAATATAAATGTGTCATGTTGTGATGCAAATATTATTGTATCAATCAAAAGCAGAACTTGTTCAAAAAAATTTAGCAGATTTGAAGCATAACATGCTATTTTCATTTTATTCTTCATTTATTTCTATATTTTTGTTGTGTTGTTTTCTTTACGTATCGTGCCTACATAATTCACTCACTATGATGACACAGCTGAGTGGAATCTGCTGCAAAGTGCTGATTAAACCTGCGTGCGTACTGCTATCATTTGGCTATCAAGTTTACTCTCTCCTACAGCCTTACTACCTTCATTGTAGACTAGCTATAATGTAGATAGGTCCTAATAGACTGATTTGATCAACACAGTTGGTCAATTCTGTCAAGCCTCGTTAACTCGCAACTGCATCTATGTTGACCAGCATCCTAAGCTCATCTTTCTTTACATTTTTTTCTGGCTTTCTGTTTGTCTCTTTCTCTTCCTTTCCTTTTTCTCTATCAGTCTATAACTTTTTTATATATATTTAACAATTGACAAAGTGTCTTTCTCAGTGTTTTTATTCTCTTGGAATATATTAATTACCTAAATACACAGATATTTCTTGCAATCAATATTATAACATGCAGAAATAACACTTTTGTGTATATAAACGTTATGAATTAAACTTTATTTTTGTAATAAATATAACAGTGTATCGTATTAATATTCTATTTCTCTTAATTTAATTACAAGAGTATTGTATATACATATCCTACTTTTTTTTGTGAGTTCTATCTTTACTAATTAACATTACCTGTATAAAATTTGAAATATAATTTTTCGTTGCGAATATATATAGAAAAATAGTTTGATCGCACACAGTTTGTTCTTTTGTTTGGTAAGTTTGTTCTTGCATTTGTTAAGAGAGCAACAATGTTTTGCTTGCGTATAGCTCATATGGACGTATGTTCTTTTTTTTTTCATTACTATCTTAAATCCCTCGTTATCTCGCTTCCGGCTTTGAGAATGGTTGAAGAGAACCGGGTTGTACCCACGATAAACCTGATGGCTTGATTTCTTCTTTAACCTAAATAAAAAGAAAGAATTGAATAGGTTTGTAATTTAATTCAATGTTTTTTATCGACCGGGATATTTTACCTTTGTCGGTTCGTAAATTTCTCGTTTAACGGTATCATGCTGCTCACTCACATATTGGCTGAAAGTAATATAATGCGGATCGTCCATGGTAGAGGGATCAAATACTTGATTCACGCTGTCTTTCACGCATGCTTTCACACGTTCGCGGAAAGCTTCAAAGTTATTTTCTTGTCTATAACATTTCAACGATATAGATTTTAACAGATACTCAAGTATATTTACATAATTTTTCTACAACACATACAGATAAACAATTATATTTACAAGTTGGCTGCCTCCTGATTTACTGGAGTCATTTTCGTGTCTAATTTAACAAATATTTTTGTAATATATTGTATCAATTGCCAAATTCTGTTATTTCTTCTCCATTCAGGAAAACCCCATGATGTACACAATTCTCCATTTTCTGGATTTATTAATGGATGGAAGATTTTAGTTTCAAACACAACTTTCTAAAATATATTTACATCTTTCTAAAATATATTTAAATTGAGAGAGAGAGAGAGAGAGAGATGTAAACACATACACGTGTACACACATACATATGTAGGTTTTGTACAAAAAATATTAAAATAATTTTTATTATTTTTCAATATACTTACAGGGCACTCCCCAAGTGGAAAGTTCTGAGGCAATATAATAGTGAACCTAAAAACTCCACCTTTGTAGAACCCTTGCCGAACAAATTGTACACCGAACCATACTGTGACCAAATGTTAAATTATTATATATTTGAAATGTAGTTTGTGTGTTTTAACTATGTTGAAATAAAACAGGCAAAAGATTTATAGATATATTTACATTAGAACCATAATACAAGTTGTAATCAGGATGAGCAAGACCTACAAAAGTAGTTTATATCTATCAAAAGTATACTGTTTCAAAAAAAAAAACAAAATTCTCATTTCACAAAATAACATTGATTATCTAAATCCCTATGGAAAAACTTTAAAGTAAGTGGAGCATAAATCCCTATTGTAGAAACAAATGTCAAAATATGATCATCTAGTATAAATTGTGACTTGAAAGACTCTTGACAATACTTACAGAAAGAATTTAAAGCAGATGGAATAACATAAATTCCCTTCAAATCTTGGGAGGATAACATCTTGCTAAAAGCAAAAGAATAAACAAATAAGCCAGTTCTCTTTTTCAAAATTAACAAATTTATATATATATATATACATATATATATATATAATAAAAATGTATTGTCAAGTACTTACTATTCTGAAAGTATGTTGTATTCCTGCAGAAAAATAGTATGCTGCTTGTTGGTTTGTACGATAAATGGCCTATCTATCATTTTTACAGACATACCGAGTGGAGAATCTCCATTATTACTTCCCGGCACGAGCTTTCTAAATGAACCCTGTCTATTTAGACTATCATCTTTGCCATCTTCGTTCTAAAATAATAATCAAATTGTACTTATACATTTTTTTATTATATATTTTTCAATGATTATTAAGTTTGCTGAATAAGAACGCAAGAGAAAGAAGAATATAACTGCAGGTATATTTGATATGCAGGTATTTTCACTATCCTTCTCTAACATTTTCAATTATTAATGTGCATATACGTATTTGTTATTGAAAACAAAAACATGTATATATATATATATATATGTATACCTTGATTCTCGACATGACGAATAAGTTCAGAAAACGCGTAAAATTTCCAAAGTATTAATATTTTCCAGCATCACACCTAATGTAAAGATAAGCTGTACACTTGTGACTGCGTTTCAATATTCACTGCCAGTACTAGAAATCTACAGCACATGCTACGTAAAGTATAGATTTTTAGTACCGACGGTAAAAATCGGAACGCAGGCATTGTCGCACCTTTGACTATATAAGTATGGACTTTTAGATAAGCTGCGTTCCGTTTCACGCGTATGCGCACATTTATCTATAGTATACGTGACATGTACTACAGATAAATGCGCGATTAAACATGAAACGGATCGCAGCCCCTATTGTAGTTTTTTTACAACGGTTTCAGCCGCTAGTTTTAGCGCTATATCCACAAAAGTGGATCTCAAAACCCGTTCCACATTAAACGCAAGTCGCAGGTTTCGTGAAACCAGAGAGAAGCCTGAGAGCGGCCACGGCCATAAAGCCTATGTCACACTACGGATTGAGATTGAGATTGGATTGAAATTTGACCAATCGGAAGAAAGAAAACCAATCCTAAGTTTATTGATCTTCGCTCTGATTGACCAAATTGCAATCCAATTTCAATCCAAATCCGTAGTGTGACATAGGCTTAAGAGTTTCTGTCATAGCTTTTCGTGGACATGGTTCTATTCCGTGCTATGAAAACACCGACGTGGTGGGGATACGCACACAAGCGAGACTGTTGTACGTGTGCGCTCGGTGGAAGTGTGCAGACATATTATGTTGATGTATGACGACGGTTCTCGCTTGTGTGCGTATCCCCACCACGTCGGTGTTTTCATAGCACGGAATAGAACCATGTCCACGAAAAGCTATGACAGAAACTTTTATGGCCGTGGCCGCTCTCAGGCTTCTCTCTGGTGAAACTGATCAATCACGTTGGTCGATTGGCTGATTTGACTATGCGATTAGTCAATTCCACGAGAGACCTGTGACTTGCGTTTAATGTAGAACGGCCTTTGAGATCCACTTTTGTGGATATGGCGCTAAAACCAGCGGCTGAAACCGTCGTAAGAAACTACAATAGGATAGCCGCTCTCAAGTTTCTCTCTGGTATGACATTTGGGTGCGGTCAAATCCTCACTGCAAATGTTTTGAAGCATTGTTCTATCTTTATTTCTCGTTAAATGTAGAATAAAGATAAAATGATGCTTTGAAACATTTGCAATGAGACTTCGACCGCACCCATTGTATTGTATTGCCGCGTCAGTTTGTGTAATCGCGCGGAAAAGTCGGAAAAGAAACAAAAGTAAAACAATATGAACGAGTTTACGTGTATGAAGCAGCATGAAGGCAATCACATTTACCGCTTCAAATGGAACGATTATCAAATTTATCTAGCTGATGTTGTGCGACAACTGTTGCAGGAAGATTGTATGGTGGACGTTACACTTTCCGCATCAGGCGAACGTATTCATGCGCATCGCATCGTGTTGTGTGCATGTAGCACTTTGTTCCAAGTAAATAAATTCTGAGTTTATTTATGTGTGCATAAAAGTAAAATTTACAAATATACGAAGGAATTAAGCGATTAAAAATGTGTTGGCAATATGTAGTAGCAATGCTAATTATATAAAACAAACCAAAAAAAATAAAATTCACCATTTGTGTAAATTGTAAACATTTCTTTGATATTGTCGATTGCAAAATACTTTAACGATATGATATACTGGACATTGATGTACAATAATTGTGACATTTACAGGAGATTCTTAGTCAAGTTACAGAAGATGATCCAACCATTATTCTTAGTGACATATCTTCTCAGGATATAAAATCCATCATTGAATTTATATATCATGGTGAGGTTCGAGTTCCTGTTGACAATATCAGCAGTTTACTTGAGGCTGCGCAGTCATTAAAAATAAGTGGTCTTGTTGATGTTGGTATTATTGAATACAACCATCTATAAGCTTAACTGTTGCGATTATGATGTGCTTTCTTCAACAGATAAATGGACTTGAGGAAAATCAAAGGATCGTAAACAGACAAGATCTTGTAGAAGAAAATGCAACAGATGAAACTGAAGAAAATAAATCCAAGAATTTACAAAGTCAACAAACTATTGAGAATAAAAAGAAACGTCAACACAGGATCCGTGAAAGCACAAAGAAAGACTACAATGATGTTATGTTACAATCTGCAATTGAAGATTTGAAAAAAGGAATGCCTTTGATAGATGCTGCCACCAAACACAATATACCTCGCTCAACGTTGTATATGCGAGCGAAAGCGTTACATATACATTTAAGTGCGTCAAGAAATGGATATCCCGAAGAATGTATGAATGCAGCGATGTCTGCTGTAATGAGTTAGTGTCTTGTTTTGTTTTTTATGTTGTATCACTTTTTTGTTTTTATATATGAATTTATTCTGATGTAGTTTGAAAATCACAAGTATATAATTCTTTGCAGTCAAATTAATAGAAGAATCTATATTAAAAGAACATTTTGTGATTTTATTTTGTATAGTATTTAACTGTTGTCTAAATTCTATTTAAATCTGGTTGTGGCAGGTGGTTCGAGCTTGCAACATGCGTCGGAAGTGTATAGGATCCCTAAAACTGTATTATGGAGACGTATGCAAAAAAAAGGCTACCAAATCTTGCGTCCTGAAATGAAGAGATCGTACGCTTTAGACACAAGAGAGGCCGCTGTTAAAGCTTTAGAGAGAGGAGAAAATCTCACAAAAGTCGCGCTAGAATTTAAAGTAATTGTATATAAAATAATTTTATATATATATTTCTTGCTAATTATCTTTAAAATTGTTATGTCATGATAGCAACATATATCATTGGAACAATTGTTCGCTAATAATCTTGCTATAATCTAATAGATACCGAAGACTACGTTGTTCAGAGACAAAGCGCGATTAGTGAATCAAGGTAAATTACCATTGTCGTTTTGGAAGAAACGTAAAACGGAGAATGAAGAATTAAAAAAATCGCGATTGGAAAAAGCTGTGGCTGCTTGCAAAGGTGGTAAAATGTCTCAAGCTGCAGCGTCTATTACGTATCAAATTCCGAAAACTACGATATGGCGAAAGCTTCAGCAAGATGGGAAAAAAATGAAAAAATCATCAAATATAAAAAAAGAAAAAACGATCGAAAAGTCACAACAGGATAATGAGATAAAAACACAAGAAGATTCCAACTTCAACTATTGTGAGGTACGTTCGATTAAAAAACTTGAACTATTAATTTTTTGTGGTCAAATTAATTCAATTTTATTCGAGTACAAAATATTATACATTATATTTTGTTTAATATAACTTGTAATGCAACATTTATTTGTTTATAGGTTTCATCAGAAATACCTGTAACTTATATAGATGAGAGTAGTATACCCGAGGACTCTGTAATAATCTTGACAACAGAGGATTTAAATGAATTGAATTTAGAAGAAGGAAGACAAATTATTGTAAATACCGTAAGTGAACGCAGTCTTCTATTAACTATTTAACTTAATGGATTTAAGCGATTGTCAAATTTTCATAGAAATTATCATTCTTTGCTTTGTAATCACTTTTTATTATTTATTTTATTATTTATTAATATTTTTGCAGGAATCTGGGCAAGAATACGTACCATGCGCGATAAGTATTGAAGAAAGTTCAAATTATTCAGAAGACGCGGGTTAAGTTTAAGTAAACACTTGGGGGTCGATTTTGTATCACGTAGTGTAGTGAAAATTACAAAATGTAATTTTCACTACATTGCATAGAGAATCGACCCCCTGAGGTTACGTTCTTACCTTGGTTATTAAAATGCTATATTTCACATCCCGTGTACTATAGTTACCTTTTAGGTAACACTATTTAGATAGGATTTTGAAACGTAATCCCAAGAGGATGCTGGGGAGTGACCTGACGTGACGTTATTACGACGTTGTTAAAAATAACTATTTGTCGCAACTACTGAACGGAATGAAAGATACTTTTACAAAATAAAAAAAATAACAAAAGAAAGTGCAGACTGCAAAAAACATTTAAAAAACGAAATAATTTCTTTTGAGATACAGTAACCTCCTCCCCTCGACAATAATTGCGCGTAATCTCGAAATGTAAAAATGACACCGGACACCAAAGGCGGACCGTTAACTTTGAGATACTTGGGCTAACACTGTTTTTACCTGTGCCAGTACTTGGAATTATTTTTAGTGCAAAAAAAAAGGTTGTTTTTGCCGTTTATTTTTGACCGCACAGGCCCTTTGATTGAACGGGGCCTCGGGCTGCAGCCCATAAAGACCATGTCTAAATCCGTTTCTGCCGGACACCACTAAAGTATGCATTCAAGGATGTAACGAGACCATGAGTATAGTTGAAAGCCTACAGAAAAAAGAATAGTTTAACCTACATTAGCGGAATCTGAAAGTTACGACTGTTGTAAACTAACCCTGATGAAAGATAGAAAGAACGAGAAACGATAATCCGTCTCAGTCTAAATAAAAAAACGGGCGAACGAAAAACAAGGAAAGAGACAAGAATGGAAAAATTGCATTAGTTACGTTCAGAAAACTCAACGGTTGAGAGATCATCATTTGTGATAGGACTATTCTTCAAAACCTGTTACGGTTCTAAAAGTATGATCCAATCATAAGTGATTATCTCTCAACCGTTGTGCAACTGTTGAGTTGTCTGAACGCGCCCATTGTAACGTCTGATGAGTAAAATAGGAAGGAATCCAACATCCTCTTACGCCCGTTTTCATCATCTCCGATTAACTTAATCGGCGATTAAGTATCAGTCGTGATCGGTCTATCTTGCTAGACGATTAATGCGACTGTCAATTCCAATGGAATAATCGGCCGAAAGATTTGTTTTTTTTTTCCCTCAACTGGCTGCACTAGTTCACAGTCTATCTTTTTTTATCCATATTAGAAAGAAAAAGATAGACTGTGAACTAGTGCAGCCAGTTCAGGGAAAAAAAATAAACCTAAATATTTCCAGGAGAAGAGAGAAGTTTGTGATATAAAGATTACTGTGTTTTCGCAACTCTGTCTAGTTAAACTTTTTATTATAATGTGAATATTGGTATAAACATAACGTAGAATGGCGTATGGACTAACTTAATTACGGTCCACTGAGCCATAAGAGCACCAAACCAACCAACCATTGTATAAAAATACACATTTTGTTTTATTATAAAATTCACATGTTCTCAGTTATCTGTGGTTATCTGTCTGTGCATTTATGGCTCTTAGGCTTATGGAAAGGTTAGTCTAAACGCCATTTCGAGTCTTTCGTATTCTTAGTACCTATATAAGAAGAGAGTTTGTGCGGTAGTGCCGATGACCATCCTTGTTGCACAGTGGGTGTACCCATCTGTATGGGGCTCGTGTTCAGGTTGTTATGACTGAGAACGCCTTGTGGAAGGAAGATTTTATTTGAGATTACACTCGAGTTAAATTTTGGAGGTCTGATTGAGTTGGCCGACAGGTGATGATCAAATTCGAACTTGGAACCTCTATGGTCGCACAGGTCCTGCATTCGGGTCGCGAGACCCCGAGTGGGCTAGTCAGTTCTGTTGTAACAACCTGAGCACGAAACGAACTCGACACATGGATACACTTGCTACGAAAGATCGTGTATCGCGTGATAGTATAGTACTGCGCAATCCCTTCGTATGTTCTGAGAATTATAGAAAAAAATGGCGTGTATAGATTAATTAACTTTCCCATAGGTCTCGGAGCGCACCACTAATTATATACCAATCAACCGTTGTATAAACATACTGAATTACTTAAAATATACATTTATATAAACACAAATTGTGTGTACGTAGAATGCGCGTTCAGAGACGCTCTCATTATTTTTTTGCACGCGTCGTTACAAAGTTTTTTTTAATAAATGGAAACATTTTGGACTTTATTTCATCTTTATTGTTTATTAAATGTAGAACGTAAATAAAATGATAGCTTCGAGCATTTGATATTTGCTGATACGAGCTTCGGACTAACGATATAAACACAAAAGTTCCTAGCGAATTGGGAAGTACACGAGCACATGCGTTGGATGCGCAATAGACGTGCGTCATCGATGCGTACAATGTTCGATGTATTGTGTATGTGTATGTACATATATATGTTGACAACGCATTTGTGCTTATCTCAATTACGCGTGACATGTAATACACGCGGATCGCGATCACATTGCTGCGTTACGTACCGTATAAAAACCGAATTGCGTTTGTCGGAGAAATCGCATCCTCGTGTAATCACGGCACGCGGTGATTGTTTTTTAGATCGTGAAAATTAGAGTGAGGTCGAATCGCGAGACTTGATTCGCGAGTTTTTCTTGTCGACTAAACGGTCAAGAGGGAAGCAAAGATTTCGTTTTTGCGGGAAGATATGCCGGATAGCGGGGCTGTCTACCAACCGACTACCGTTGGTTACACCTACGAGAATACGGGCGATGGTACCAGGAGCGGTGACGGTTTTAGGCATGGATTCTGGCGCATCATGTCCAGGCACAAGCTCAGTTCTAGGAGGTGGTTTGAGTGGATGATGGTGTCGGTTGCGTTTTGTTTCATTTTCGCCGGCCTCGTAACATTGCTCGTTGTCTTCACTACCGGGAATGACGAAACGGACACAAGAGTACCAGAGGTGATAATAACATTTATTGACAATGTAAGGTCTTTTGAGCTGGAGTATAAACAGATTATGAATAATTTTACATAGGATAAAAAAGTAATGTACGAAGAGTTTACAACAAAGATATTAATAAGTATCGTATTGTTGTTACGTGTTGAAAAGACATTTTTATAGAATACTTGTACATACGCAAATATAATATAAAGGAGACATATTTTTATAGAATTGTGAATTGCCTGAGAATAAGTGTACAAAAAATCATAGGTAAAGCCAAACGGATCCACTACAATAGCTACTGACGTACAGCAGCAAGCGGAAAATACAGGGAAACATTCTATAGCAGTAGGTACTGGATTGCTATTAGTTGGTCTGCTACTTGTCTTCGTTTGGATATGTCTTGGTTTCTTCCGTCCTAATAAATTGCAGAGAAGCAGTATAGTTAGCAGCAGCGGTCAGGTAAGCGGACAAGCAGTTTCAGCTGTGTAATATTTTATGTTTTGATTTTATTTTACCGGAAGCCATCTGCTCTCTGGTACGCTCTGTATGCTCGTTTCTTTATCTTATGTACGCGTTGCTATGAGGAAAGATGTTGGGCGGTTTGAATCCATCAACTGACTTGCTGGTGGGTTCCACTTCGCAGTACGGGCCAGTACTCACAGAGGTGCCAAGCCAGTTGAAGCTGAAACAAGTCAATGATGCGACTCGTACGACTGCTGTACCCCTTTCCGATCAAGAGGAGGAAACGCACACGCTAATGCAAGATTCAGCAAGCCCACCGTCTGTTTCGGCCGGATCTAGCACCATCGCTAATCAGATTCCAGGTTGAGAAAATGTCGTCGTCTCCCTTCGTGCGTAATTAGGCACATATAATAAAAGATATTGCTTCGAGTTACAAATCTTTTATCATGTTTCCTCGAGAGTTTGTCATCACTTTGATAATTCTGCAAATTACTTAATTTATCCGAGATTGTGTTTTTTTTTTTTTTTTAACTTTTTTGTGGCATAATTACAATGTCACTGACTTATTGTATGATTGAGAGAATTTTATGCTATTTGAAAAAAACTTTTTTATAACTTTTTAGGTTGTCTGATGTTTAAATAAGATTTTTAAGTAAGCACAAACACAATGTTTGAGAGATCTCATATATAGTACGTGTAAAGCATTAGATTATTTAATTTTTTTAATTATCTATGCATTCCTCTACTCCGTCCATTATTATTAGTAGTACTATATATTAAATGAATATTTGATCAGATAGAAAAAAACAGTGATTTTGTGTTCTCAAATTAGTTATATCTTATAACTCTACTATATCTGAGTTTGATAATATTTGTACTAGTAAAATTTATAAATGTTTTTTATGAAGATATCTTACTTGATAAGTTACGAATAATAAAACCTATTACGATCATTAGGTTTTTTCTTTAATGAGAAAATGAAACAGAATAAATACTTCAGTTATTTACAATATTAATAGAATCTTTATATGAACTATTGTATAAAGTATATATACTTCTATTTAACTTCTATTTTATTAGTACTGTATTTTTTTTCAGATAAATTGTACATATCTAATATTTCCCGTTTTTACTTTTAGTACACCATAATCTTTTGTATGTCAAAAACTAAATTTTTAAAAACTTTTCTTAAACTGATATTATTTTAAGAAATATAGTTTTTTCTACACTTTTTTTTAAGCAGACATGATTGTATGAGCATTTTTTAAATCATCTTTCAATTTGACGTGCTCATGATAACGATACACATGCACCATGTGTTTAATTATCAAATCCAAATTAGTAACAGTGACAGCAATCATTATTGACAATATACTGTAAATTTAAATGATGTATTGATATATGTATGTGTGTGTGTGTGTGTGTGTGCGTATATATGTACACGTTATATATATCACACATTACATTAGATATATAAATACATATACAGGGTGTCCGACGATTAATGTAAAATCTCTCGTAGACGGGTAGAAGGAGTAAAACTGAATCGAAAAGTCCTAAACCAGTTTTTTCTATTACATATAATAAAAGAGTAATTTATTGAATAAATCAAGTCAATCAGCGCTGATGGCTTTAGCCGGGCGCACGTCAGTGAGCCGCGCGGAGCGCTCACGCACACCAGACGCGTGGTTCACTGACGCGCGTTCGGCTAAAGATCGGCGCTGATTGGGTTGATTTATTCAATAATTACTCCTTTATTATATGTAATAGAAAAAAATGATTCAGAACTTTTCGACTCAGTTTTACTCCTACTTACGAGAGATTTTACACTAATTGTCGGACATCATGTATATATTAAAAATTTAAGTTTTATATATATAAGTTGTATAACTTTAAGTAAGAAAAGATAACTGTCACTGTAATTAATACGAAATAATTATGTACATATTAACGTGTATAAAAATATAAGAAAACACTTAACAAACGATTGGTTTAAGATATTCATGTTTGTATAAGCATGCCATAATATAATGCACAATTTCTAATGTTTTATTTTATATATATCTCTCTTTTTCTATTTCATTTGTGATATATACATGTGTGTGTGTGTCACGCACGCACACACACCTATATATATACATATATATATATATATATATATATATAAATTTTATAATTGCACATAATTTTGTTATGATATTGTAAAATTTGCTTTAATAAAATATTTATGCTCCGAAACATTTTTTGTGGTTTTATACAATTAATTTTAATTTTATATAGTAACATAAATATAAATAATATATATGTAAAACTTCTTTCTGAAAGATGTACTTGACATATGTATATAGTAAATTTACCTACTATTTTTGAACATGCTACTTCATACGGTATGAGGCACGAATGTAGAGCCAAAGTTTTTCATTTTTTTAGTTTATTTAGTTTTTTAAGTAAAATGTTTAATGTATGTACACAATAAGATTTTATTTTACCAAAATATTTTCTGAATATTTTCTGCTGCTTTAGATCGAACGGTATGTTTTCAATTTTTAATTGTTTTAAGTAAAAATCACGTCTGTTATTGATCTTATGTACACGTACTAACGTATTTATGTACTGTTGCAATATATATAAGGCACAAATATATTTTACATATAATTGTGATACAAGCTTTTTATGTATTTCACATTTTTATTTTTATGAAAAATACAAAAACAACCATTACATATCTTACAAAAAGAGCCACTTTTCTCAACTTATCTAATCAGTCTCGAAATTATCAATACAATTTTGCGTTATCTCTGAGTTTGGTATTTTTGTCTTTAAAAGTGACACGTTGAGATCAAATCGGTTTTTTTCATAAAAAATAAAGGTGATTTAATGTGATATAAAGATGTGCAATATAAAAATGTATATTCGCAAAAGGTGTTTTTATTAATACTTCAGGATGTATTTTTTAGAAGAGTTAAAAAAATGCATATAATTGACCCGTATTTATATAAAATCTTTAAAAAATTTATGAATAAGTTTTTATAACGTTTTTATATAGCCACAAATAAAGATTTTTGTATGTGAGATCTGCTTAGTAAGAGGGAAGTAGCGTTGCAATTAAATTTGTAAAAAAAGAGATGAAATAAAATTCTCGATCGGTCACCGATTTGACATTTCTATATCAGCTGTTACATTCAATATGGCTGCTTGCAAGATGCGTTTTCTCCGAAAATATTCAAGAAACGCCTACGGTAGGATAAATGCATAACTACATACACGGTGTGAATACTGTTAAAGGATTATATAAATTGACATTCGTGAGAATTGTATCAGCCTCGCTATGGCCGGGAACGGAGAAGTGTTGGAAGGATTTATATGTCCTATATGCATGAACGATTTCAAGACACCCAGTCATTTAACGAAGCATTTCGAAAAAGTTCACAATGATGATCCTGAGATTTTAAAATCGTTAAAAGGTACATAGTTCTTTGCTTTGCAAGCTATTTGCTGCGGTTGATCGAGGTTTAGTTGCACCACTTTGCTTTATATTGTAGTAAAGATACGTATTCCAGAGCGACTTTTGTTTTAGATTTGTTTGGTAAAGCCAAAGAGAAAATTTTGAAGCAAGAAGATATATCAGGAACTTTTTCAAACGCAATATCAGAGAGAAAGAGTCTGGAAATTAATTGGGGACCACAAGAAACAGGTATTGACATGCTCTCAAAGTAATTGTGTTTTAAATAAAATCTTTAGTTATTTTAGTGTAATTTTTATTTTTTAAATTTTTATAGTTATTCATAGTATAGTAATGTAACTCATAGTTATTTAAGTAACAGAAGAAGTTAGCCTCATAATTTTACACAGCAAATATTCAGGGAGGGGATTTACAACAATGGTAATATCGGTTATTGCATGACTGGCACAAGTCGATAACTCTTTTGAATAGCAAATGTTTCTATTGTTCTTTCAATCAACTTAATTTTTTCACTTTCTGAAGTGAGCAGTTATTTGCAGTGTTGCGATACTCATGACGTTGAATTTGTTAAATACTTTGTACACAGGTACAATTACATCCCATACTAAATATTTTAAAGACGTAAGAAACGCTCGATTGGAGAGATACGCATATGAAACAAATAAACTTCTTATAAGGTTAGATAAATTACTAAATAATTTGCCATCAGATCCTATTGAAAGAAAAGGTAAGAAACTATATACGTCTATATATTTAGCGTTATATAAACATAGTTTATACTTTTACTGTACTTCTAGATATCTATCAAAATTATATTGTACATATGTATATCTAAATTAAAATATAATCGAGTAAATCGCCACTTGTGTGTGTATATATATATATATATATATATAATCTAACTAAAAATTAACAGCTCATGAACGCACTATTGTACCATGGATTGATGAAAAAGATGTGAAATTGTGTCCTAATTGCGCCAAGAGTTTTCATCTGGCAAGACGAAAACATCATTGTAGACTATGTGGAGCAGTCATGTGCCATAATTGTACAGTATTTCTATCCCTAGTCGAAGCAAGTACGTATCGTGAAATATATAAATCCGAAACATAAAATAGCATTACTATACTTTATATATGAATCATTTAAATCTTATTGCTTATTGACTCACTATAATTACGCCAGCATTTTATTTGAGTTGTAAATTAACACAATTTTTTTTTACAGGAAAAATGACCAGTCATGTATCTGTGCAAGACGATTCCGCTTTGTCTTCTAAATCAGAAAGAGTATTTCCCGAGAGAATAGTACGTGTAGGCGTAGGTCTCACTAAGCTAGCGCGCTCGCCATCGAACGGTAGCTTAAATAGTGTTTTATCGTTGGTGAATGATCCGATCAGCGGTGATCAGCACTTCAGAGTTTGCAACCACTGTATAAACTTGCTCGATGCAAGGGAAATGCAAAAAGCGAGACAATTCGATAAACCGATTGTCTGCGAGTTTTACGAAAAAATGCGGGGATACATGAATGAAGCTTCGCAGCATTCAGCAATGTACAAAAAGATGTGGGAGTCAATAAAGTATGTAAATTTCTGTTAGCGATGTTAATTTATCGTGTGAGTGAAATGATACTGCGTTAAAAAACAATTGTAAAAATAGTTGTTCCATCTAAAATTAATCTAAAGTTTTTTCTAAATTTAAAATGTTTTAGTTCATAGAAGGAAATACTAATTCTCTCTTTCTCTCTCTTTAGTTCATAAAAAAATAACTAAATAATCTCGATCGTAGAAAAGTTATACATATCAAAATATTTTAACACCAGAATGCATAAAACTATTTTAGAGAAGGAGAGACCACGTACGATCTGGAAGATGCGCAGGCATTACGAGGCAAGCTAGCAAAACTGGGTGAAAACATAGATGCAACAAGCAAAAAGATTCTTATTCTTGGTACAAAACAAAATACCGCAGAGGAGTCACAGGCGATGGAGGGACAAGAAGCAAGGCTATATCAGATGGTTAGAACGTCGGCGATGATATTTCTGAAGGAGGAGTTATTAATTTTACAACCCCTGCCTTCAGCGGAAGAATATGCAGTTTTACAAGAAGAGCGCCGAAAAAGAATAGAAGCCCGAGTAGCGTACGAACAACAATTAGAAGAAGAGCAACGGGAGAAGCTGAAAGAACAACGCAAGAAAGATACGTGGAATGTAGATAGTAGTTCTTCTGTGAGAGTTTGTCAGGTACTACTATGATAGATTCTATGATTTGTAAAAGAATCAATAATTTTATGTTCATATACAATTTATGTATGAACATAAGAAATTATAGCGCGTGACATTAATAATAATTTAAATTTGATCATTCTTAAATTTAAGGCACAAACAGTGGTGACTCAGTCTCAAGGCTGGGGTCCATCATCTAACGTTGCACCCATAATGTCTTCTTCTATGGATCCGATAATTGAACAAATGAGCAATCTTCGCGCATACATTAAACAAGCTCGCGCCGACTGCAAGTATGACGAAGTTGCGACATTAGAGAGTAATCTTCGAGAGCTTCAAAGTGCCTACTTCGCTATGAAACAAAGCAACAGTAGCGACGGATAAAGCGCAGCATACCGGCAACATGTAGCGTACATATAAACTGTTCAACAAGTTCTTTTTATAGTGAGATTGCTGTTTTCCTATTGGTTTCCAAATAGATATTTAATATACACACATCCTCTTGTACTATTTAATAAGTTCTCTTATTGTATCAAGAAACAGCTTTAATATATATACTTGTGCATTATACGTATAATGCACAGACTATATAAATATATATATATATATATAATGAAATATGTAATACAAAACAAGTTTTAACACAGTATAAAATTCCAATTTCATTCCTTGTGTATTTTTTTTATATTTCAACAACAAGTGTTTTTATATTTATCAATCATTTATTATTGTTATACTTTTTTTTAGATGTGATAAAATAAATCTTTGCGCATTTTATATGTTTTTGCTACCTTTAACTTCTTTGCTATGCAGTTTTTACTTCTTCTTTGTAGCTATGACTGTCAGACCTACTTGGTTGGTCCATGTCAGTTTGACTACAGTTTTTACTGTGAGACACGTCATATAATATAGTTCCACAAAATAGGCAAACATTGTGACAAGTCTGTTTTTAACTACTACAGGTAAAAATTATTCGCAAATGTTTGTAAAATAAACAACACAGATAGTTTATCACATTGGATATTTGAATATTTTATTTACTGACAAAGAAATACAAACTTTATTTAAGTGGAATAAACCGTGAAGAATGTGTAGCACCAATACCAGGCCTACCATGTTTTACAGGTTTATATGTAACAGAAAATTCACCAAGATAATGTCCAATCATTTCTGGTTTGATTTCGACTTGATTGAAAGTCTTGCCGTTGTACACACCAATGATTGAACCAACCATTTCTGGCACAATAATCATGTTACGCAAATGAGTTTTAACAATTTCAGGTTTTTCGTTTGGTGGCGTTTCTTTTTTTGCTTTGCGCAGCTTCTTAACAAGTGCCATAGACTTTCTTTTCAGACCATGAGAGAAGCGTCTACGTGCTCGCGCATGCATCAAGTCCAACAACTGATCACTGAAAAGATTCAAGTAGAATTATAAATTTTTTTCCTAGTATATAATTGTACATTTCTGACTATTGTACACTAATGTATGTAGATTAGTACATTTTTATTACAAGAGCAACTGTATAGGTTATATTTAAAATGCATCAGGAATTCATGACTCATATCTTACTTTGGCATGTCCAGAAGTTGGTCGAGGTCTACCCCTCGGAAGGTGAACTTCCTGAAGGTCCTCTTCTTCTTCTGAGTTTCATCTGCCTGTGAAAAATATATAATGAAAAGGTAAACATTCAGCAAGACACGCGATTATACACAAAGATATGCATATGCACATTAATATTGTTCTATTATTGTACATGAATAATCAAGTAAGATGCACGATACACACACGTATATTTTACGCGATAGATGTACAAGATTTTTTTCGATTAAATATCGAATTTTGCAAACTTACCTCAGCCATGTTTTACTTCTTTTATAGCTTTTGACCGAAAAGAATGACAGAGACTTGGACAGAGAGAAATCGTCTAGTTTACTCCAAATTCCAAGCTCAGACAGCGGACAGTACGTGAACTACGTAATCACCAACGTTGCTTAGAGAGTAATATACACGGTGTCTGATTCTGTTCCATGTTATGTCTATATAAAGTGTCGGTAATGCAGAGTAAGATTTTGACAAAATATATATCCATATATTTTTTGATAGAATATATTGTGTCTTTATTATTCTTAGAAAATAATTTTTCCAGACTTTTGTAGAAAAAATAAACAATTTATTATATTACACAAAAAAGAAGTTGAATATTTAGATAAACCATCATCTACAATAATTATTGTACTAATTTTTTGATTACATAGTTTATATATGTATATACATGTATATATATATATATATATATATATATATAATTATCTACAATATACAATATACATATATTATCTACAATATATATATAATTATCTACAATTAAACTTACTTTATGAATGTTAATTTGTATTTAAAGAAAAAGTATGAGAGAGAGAGAGAGAGAGAAACACAAATGGTTTCTTTATTATGCGATATCTAATCATGAAAATCGTTCTTTTATACTTTTGATCAATATAACTAGATATGTTTTTATTATATATTTTCGTTATCCCTTGGGAATCTCTAAATCGATCATGGTTTTTATTAGGGTTATAAAAGCCGCAAAAAAAGAAAAAAATGTTTAAAACATTGTTTTCTCGTCTTAATCGTGTATTATTACTTGCCCGCGTTTTACCGCGTACGTAATTCAAAGAAAAGACTATTATTCTCTGATTATTCTCGTGCCGTTGTGTTTCAGAGCAATGCCGAGTTCTCACACGACGAGGAACTTGCTTGTGTGCGAAGGATGAGCAACCCTCGTTCAATTTTGCTATAGCCGGCACCTAAATATGAAGAGAGAGAAGTCGTGTGGCGCACACGCGCAATTTGTATTCGCGCTCTCTCGCTCCGCGGGATTGATCCCAAGTGTGCAACGGGGCGCTGTTGTGTCCCTCCCGCACATACAGTGCACGTTCGTGACTAGTCAGTGTGAACATGTGTATCTAGGTGTGCGTCGCGATTCACCTGTTGTAACACCTGCTGCATCCATCGTAGCTCCCTTTCTCGTTCTTCCGTGCGCTGCTAATTGCAGTACTAATTACTCGGTGATACTCGCTTGCCAAGATACTCGATGACTGATGAGAGCAGCCGAAAAAGGCAAAACTAATAATGATGATGATAATGAAGGTTTTTATTAATTAAGTTGTTATTCTCTATTATAGGAATCTAAATTTGACAGATCGATAAAAAAAATCAAATTCTCATTTATACTAATCCTTATTTCGATATTGATTGAAAAATAGATACATGCATTAGCTCGATTATAGAAGAAGTATATGTATAATATTAATATCAGGTCAAACGTTTTTCTGGAGTGGAGAAAATTTAAGTTTCAGAAACAATGGAAATAAAAAAAAAGTTGGTTTTTATTTATTTATTTTTTATTAATATCAAGCAAATATTTTGTAATTGTTCGCACAAAAATATATAATAATCGAAAATTGAAAAAATATATAATAAATAATCTTCGATAATATTTGTGTTTTAAATATGTATATGTGGGGATCTTATTAATTAATATAATAAAAAAACTAAAGCACTCCTCTCTTGAGAGAAGATTAATTGCGCGCAAGGAAAGAAACGTGAAGATTAAACTTAAATCGTACTCTTTTTCGATTAAACAATAACCGCAATACCAATTTGCGGTTATTGCGGGACACAAGTATTGTTTCGACGACTCAATTTAATTAACTAGAATAACTAACCGGTGGGGCAATTATAACCATATTCCATAATGGAATCGCGCGCGCATACACACACACACACACACAACATGAGATAGTGTGTATCTTATTAGCTAACAGCTACGAGGAAACCGAGTAGATTGCTGGCAGGATCGGACCCTCAATACTAGGGAACTTTAATTAAAAGATACTTTGTTTTATTCCCATTGATTTGACATTTATCTATTATTTTAGATGTGCAAATAAATAATTGTTTATATTTCACGAACAGATGTTATTTTAAAATAACAGACAGATCGTTTGCAATCAAGTTCACCTAAGAAAGAGTATTTTGTAAAACATATCATTATTAGAAAAAATAAGAAGTGAATTATGTGTGTAAAAAATATATGTACAACGTACTCTTATACCTTCTTATAATATAGCAAAAAGATCGTTAGACAATAGAAAAAACTTCAGATACACTTTCTTTTCTCTCAATTATAAAAAAAGAAGTAAATTTGAAAACAGAGAGAGATAATGTTTCTTTGATTTTATTTTAATTTTTCTTTCTTTAAGTACGAGTTTTTCGTTTTCACGTCTGAACAAATGCGTAATGCGGAAAACCGGCCCTGCTTACAGGACATAAGAAAGAGAGAAAATGGGGCACGAAAAGGGATCATCTAATACAGTAGCCTAAATAGATCGCACAAAGAAGATGGCAGGAAGGAAGTGGAAGATCGAAATAAGTGGAGAGGGAAACAAGACTGAAAAGTCGCAGAAAGCGGTGGGAGATTATCGTATCGGATCTATCTGATTATTCCGTACACGGCACACTGCCACGGGACATACGATTTTGCGTTTCACTAAATGTGCAATGTGCTACTATTCACCAGTGACCTTTAGTTCGCCTCATCCGTCGTTGTATCTTTAAAGTTACATGCGAGTAGTAGTTGGAGTTTATCGAAAAAGGCAATCAACGGACTTCGGAAGGAGCGTTTGCTATTTAGCAGACAAGTGATTGACAAAAATATATAGTGTTGTCATTTGCAACAGGTAACACTCTAAATAAAGTGATTACAGTGTGAGATGAATTATATGATAAGATAATAGAAAGAATAATAAATGTAAAATATAATTACGCGAATATTGTGCTAAACACAATTGCGGCGCGGTGACACTGGATATTTTTTTAATAGCTTGATTGTGAACACTTTGAAATTATAGTTGTTTCAAAACAGTAACAATAATAAAGACGCTTTTATATTATAAATATTTTATTAAATATTATATTAAATATTTTATTAAATATTATATAATTTGTATTAAATTTTATACAATTTATATTTAAAAAAAATAATTTTTTTGAAACTAAACTTGTCAAAGAAAAAATTAACATTACATAATAAAATATCAATTAATGAGTTAAAATCACGTTTTTTATATTTACATACACTTTAGTTTAGTCTTTACTATAGAGTCTAATACAATTTCAAATTTTTATTTATTTCTTTTTTTTTATCTTATTTTGCTATTTACATAATACAAGTAGCTCAAATTGTGTTTTATAATAAAGCATAAAATATGTATATTATACCCGAGTAAATTTTTTTATTTTTGTGTCGCAACATGTCGGAAAAGAAGCGATGATCAGCACAGAATCATTGAAATATAACTTCGATGAATTTGGAGGCACTTTAGATAAAGTATAAGATGCGTTTGGACGCATCGACCTGTTTATTTCAGGATATTTTTCTAGTGGTGACTTTACGCTCTTCCAAAAGTGTCTCATATAAATAGAAGTGTGCAGATGTGGTTATGAAGTCAGTTTCATACAATATCAGTATATTTTCAACTTGATTTGTGTAATTTATAATAATTTAAGTAATAATTTAATAATAATAATAATTTAAATTTAACTTTCAGAATATTTTTTAAGATTCAAAAGATATTATATATTTAAAAAATATTGTACGTAATGAATATTTTACATATATACATATATGTTATATTATTTTATTTTTTAGCTTTTAAATTTTACTTAAGTTGTTTTTAAAATGATTTTTCATACTTAGGATATATTCAGCTAATCAAGGATATGTTAAAATTAATAAAAATAGTATGCGAAGAATTAAAGTCACAATTTTTTGTGCAGTATTATGAGAGCGGGAAACACATCACTGGTACCACCACTATTACCACCGGTTATCTCTTTCATCTGAGCAAATTAAAAAACTTTCTGCAAGCACGATATTTAAGAATCTAAGAACTAGATTTTCTCTTGCTTTATTTCGTTACTTTGGCAAAGTAATTGAATATGTGTTTGATCGTAATCGTTAAAATTATATTAAAGTCATGCTAGGAAGAGAGTTTACTTGCTTCGAGGATGCGTTTTCGGCCGGCGAATAACTAAAACTTGTTGACGTTGTTCAAGTCTTAAATGAATCAGCGGCGCGCAGGGTCATCGGTGAGTGCCGACATACGTGAGCGAAATTATGAACAGTCTAATAATAACCGTGCTCCTTACCCATATGGGAAGTTGATTTTAATTCAGGAGATCGGACATTACGCACGAGCCCCGTTCTTTATGTGAGCAAGTGATCATAGTGATGGAGATACGCGATGAGCATAGCGAAGCACATTGTCAAAAATCAAGAAGATCGTGATGTACATTGGGCGTCATCAGAGCGTTTTAACGTTTAGTAGATGTAAATTTTATGGGAATATATATATATATATACATATATTTTAACATTTACTAGATGTAGATTTTATGGGAATATATATTTTTGGAAAGCGCATCTCCCCCCCCCCTAATACATATAAAAAAAAGAATCATATTTTTGTGTCGTATAAAAACAAAAACAATTTTCTATATTATTTTTGCGAGATATATACCTAAACGAAACATTACGGAGTTTTCGAGTATCGATGTGCAGACGAGACCTTTTGTGTGTGTATGTGTGTGACAAATGTATTAAATGAAGAATCGTACGTGTTTCCACAGCAGACGGCAAGAGATATATTCGTGTAAGGGAAAATGTACGGGCTAATTTTGGAGAATCTGGCGGAATACATAAGACAGGTTTACGGTGAAGATAGATGGGAGGAGATCCGCAGACAGGCGTCTGTAGATCAGCCGAGTTTCTCCGTTCATCAGGTTTATCCGGAGAATCTAATTCCCAGATTAGCCAAGAAAGCGATTCAGGTATAATGGTTTTTCTCGGAGAGAGTACATGTGTGTGAGAGTAATTTATATATCTTATTTGTATACATTACAAAATTGTCGGGGACAGTTTCGAGAAAAATGTGCTGCTCTCGAAGTAATTATGTTGAAACACACGTTTGGAATTTTGCATATTTTGTTTATCAGATACTCGGCGTGACCGAAAAGGAGTTCTTCGATCAAATGGGCGTGCACTTTGTAGGATTCGTTGGTCAGTACGGTTACGATCGTGTACTCTCGGTACTGGGACGACATGTGAGGGACTTCCTGAACGGCTTGGACAATCTTCACGAATATCTCAAGTTCTCGTATCCAAGAATGCGAGCACCTTCTTTCATCTGCGAGAACGAGACTCGTCAAGGTAAGTGACAAGGTCGTCGCCAGGAGCTGTGTCTCCTGAAGGAAGAATTTTTGTTGTTTTCTAAAATGCTTTTTGCACGTCACTTCATAGAATTCTCATAACAAACAAGTTGCCGTTTAAGGCGATCGAGTAATATTTGAAGCTTTAAATTCTCTAGATTAATATGTGTTTGTATACCTGCATATGCCAGTTAGTTTATATATGCAGGTTTGACACTTCATTATCGGAGTAAGCGTCGAGGTTTCGTCTATTACACAATGGGCCAGATAAGAGAAGTGGCTCGGCATTTCTATCACAAGGAATTGCAGATCGAACTGGTGCGAGAGGAAGTGCTCTTCGACACTTTTCACGTGACCTTCCAACTTACTTTCGACAATCGTGCTTTTACTCTCGCTTCACTCGCGATGACTCGCGAAGAAAAGCACTTGCCGATTGGAGCGAGCGTACTCTTTGAAATATTTCCTTTCTGCATCGTCTTCGGGTGTGTGACAATAATTACGATTCGATATTGTGATTTGAAATATCAATATTCAATAATATTATAAAATTATAGTTATGTAGGTCAATACTTTTTGTTGAGATTAAAATTCAAGTAGGAAGAAAATTTATATGTTTGTCGCAAAAAACTATTTATATAAAAAGACTAAAGTATGCGACTTATTATTCTTTATTAGCGAATTAAATGTGCGTAGATTACAAACGCAAAAAGATATCTGTATAATTAAGACACATTTAAATATTTCAGCGCGGACATGATGGTTAGAAGTATCGGCAATTCGTTGATGGTCATTCTACCAGATCTTGTTGGTAAAAAGATCACATACTTCTTCGATCTGGTTCGACCGCTTATCGGATTTAAATTTCAATCAGTAAGTTTGACGAGCATAAATAGGCAAAAAAAACCACTTAAGTAAGGTTCAATAAGCAATAATGGCTTGAAACTGCTTGTTTAAGAGTGTACATGGGGTCAAGTTGATTTAAATTTAATCTTTGTGGACAAACGTCCAGAATTTACAGACTCTAGGCTGGTTATATTCGGACCAAGTACTTCATTTAAATATTTTAAAAGGCCTCAAAGACAAATCCTAGGGTGAACGTATTAGTTTACTTTTATAATTTTTAGTCAAATTAATTTTAATCCAAAGTAAAAGTAAGTTGGTCTCGCACAATTTAGATATTGAACCGAACGAACAATATTTTCGAGTTGGTTACTGTCGAGCCAGTGCTTACGGACCGATTGAATGACCGACACAGGGAAATTCTTTTGAGCGACGAGCTTGAAACTGTAGAAGATAAGACTTTACGTTTAAAAGGTACATATTTATATCATTCTCGTTTTATTAATTTGATCATTAAAAGAAGTGAAACATTTCTTATGGTTTTTTTAAAACGTGTCAATAAAGAAAAAATATGTATGGGATCGTTGGATATGAATGAAAATATTTAAAAAATAACATCACTAATCATATCGTTTAGGTCAAATGATATACATGGACAATTGGAAAATGATGATGTATCTCGGAACACCGGTCATGCCCGATCTAAACGCTTTAATAGCGACAGGTCTTTATATAAATGATCTATCGATGCACGACTTCAGCAGGTAAAGAGTTGATGTGCTGAAGTTTTTAATCGGTTTAGAGCACAGTAAAACATATTTTACAGTTTATCAACAAACTCGATTGTGTTGTTGTTGGCAAAAAATTATTGTCGGTATTATTGTCGTGTAATTCTTGAAAATTAAACTTATTAAAATTATAGTGTTTTTTTTTTTATTTTTGCGATAGACTCGAATTAAAACTCAATATTAAACAAGCTAACTATGATTCAACAATTTCTCAGAGATCTTATGCTCGCTGGAACTCAACAATCTGTTGAATTGAAACTAGCATTAGATCAAGAACAGCTCAAGAGTAAAAAGTTAGAAGAATCTATGAGAAAATTGGACGAGGAAATGAAACGTACAGACGAATTGTTATATCAGATGATTCCTAAGCAAGTCGCGGATCGTTTGAGGAATGGAGAAAGTCCAATTGATACTTGCGAGGTACCTATGAGACAGAATAACAAGTGTCTTTTCTCACATGTGTAAATGTACGAACAATTTTTATTTTGCTCGCTTGCAGATGTTCGATAGTGTATCGATTTTGTTCTCGGATGTGGTGACCTTCACCGAAATTTGTAGTAGAATCTCGCCAATGGAGGTCGTGTCTATGTTAAACGCCATGTACTCATTGTTCGACACGTTGACTGAAAGAAACCGAGTGTATAAGGTATTTTTCAAAAAACAAAATCGATATAATTTCTTTGAAAATTTTAGTTCATAAATATTGCTAAAATAATTTTTTCTATGTAAAGCGATTGATCACATATAAATAAAAATGGTAAAAAAAACTTATTTTTTCTACTCAAGGTCGAAACCATCGGCGACGCGTATATGGTAGTTTCTGGCGCACCGGTAAAAGAGAGTGACCATGCGGATCGCGTATGCGATATGGCCCTCGATATGGTCGAAGCGATAACCGACCTCAAGGATCGCTCAACAGGTATATCATTGATATGATACCCGCACAATTCTGCGGACGATGTTTTTTCGAGAACAACGAGAAAGCTTAACCCTAAACTATATATATTTCGTTTTTACGAAAAATGTGAAATTGACATCAGAAAATAAAGAAGGCTTTTGACAGGCAATCATCTGCAAATACGCGTGGGAATTCACAGCGGTGCAGTTGTAGCTGGTATTGTTGGTTTGAAGATGCCGCGATACTGTCTCTTCGGTGATTCCGTCAATACAGCAGCTCGCATGGAAGCGACGAGCCAGGCCATGCAAATACACATATCTCAATCCACCCGAGAATTATTGTCGCCTTCGTATAAAGTCACAGAGCGCGGAGAAATCGAGGTCAAAGGAAAGGGTACAGTTGTCTGAAAGTCTTGACATTTGGCGTGTCTAGTCGTTATTTTTTCGAAAACTTGCAAAAAATAATCAAATTTCCCTGCATTGCATGTATATCGACAGGTATTATGAAAACCTACTGGCTGGAAAAGCGAGAGCGTCGTTCCATTACAACTAAAGGAATCACTATACAAGAGCCTCATCAGTGGCGCACGAGGAACATTGAGAAGAGAGTTTCCTCGGTAGGAACAATGGGTCTAAACCCAGGCATATTTGACAAACCGACTCCGGGAGACACATCATCAAGAAGAGGTTCGTCCAAAATGTCTTCACCGACACCACCGGGATCCTCGGGATTTTTCTCCGAAGAGAGAAGAATATATTCTCCCATCACCTTCCAAGATGTTGCGCGACGATCGGTAGCAAACTCACCAACGAAGAGTGTGGAAATACGAGGTAGGAGTTTTCTTTTTTGCATCGATGATATAATAGTAGAACTTTGAACATCCTTTATATGTATGATTGTAGAGTGCCGATCAAATTCTATGGGTGCTGTAGGCATGAGAAACTCATCGGACATGTTCAGTTCTCTTCTAAGTGACACAGAAGAGCATTTTCGGCAACATCGGGACAATTTGACACTGCGCGCGGACAATCAATCGGCCGGCGTGCATGTGAAACCTGAAGTGAAGATCAACACCACTTCGTCCTCGTCTTCGCAGAGCTCCGAATCAAATCCGTCTTCGTTGAATCTGTTTCAGACGGGAAAGGACGACCAAGACGTGATAATCGGTAACACTAGTGAATGCGCGGCTATCAGCGCCGATCTCAGTAATTCTCAGTTGCTGATGCAACAGGATCAATGTTGTCCGGGATTTACCATGCCAAAGAGTAGCAAAATGCGCCATCAAGGAAATAACTGCGTTATTTCCTAATGCAAACAAACTGCGGATCCCCCATCTAAGATAGTACTTATCTTTAAGATACTTAAAATATCATCAAGAAACCTAACTAACTTGTTTTTTTTTCACAAATTAAAAACTTTTTACGCTAATTAAATTATTTCGCATGCGTTATACTCTATTTGTTCTGTTTTCTCACTAAAAAAATGAGGCATTCCGATTTTTGTTGAGAAAACTCATACATAAAGAAGCATAAATACACCAGATATTTTGTATACAATGCAAACTTGTATACAATGCAATACAAGAAATTATTTTCGAAGTAACTTTATATAATTTAAAATATATTTATATATATATATATATATATATATACATATATATAAAGAAATATTCCAAAACATAGTCGTGTGTGTGTGTATATGTGCGTGCGTGTGTGTATATTCTGTGCGGAAAATCGTCTCTTCCGTAAATTTATTAAAATAGATTTAGAACAATTATATACCTGAGAGAGCATGTGTATTTAATAATAACAACAACAATAACAATAATAATAATAAATATTTTAATGCAATAAAAAAACTGAAAAATATATATACAACTATACGTGTTTACATTAAATACTTGATTTTATTACATTTTTTTATCCTTTTGAGAGCTATATCTTTATTAAGGTATTTATTGCGAGACAGAACCATTCTCAAAAGTTTACTTGTATTCTATAGAAAAATGCTTACGACACGATTCATGTGTACAAAATAATTCAGATTTTATTTCATCAGTTTCAGTATAAAACTAAAGTAGGTTTATTATGCTCAAAAAATCCGTAAACAATTTATTTCCTTTCGCCGATGCAATAAACTTTTAGTAGCAATTGTCTACGTTCCGCATCAACACATGAGGTTTGTTCGCGTCGCATGCCCCAACATGCTCCTTTCACTCCAACGCGCTTTTTTTTAATGAAACTTTAATGGAACTTCAAAACTTTTTTAATAAACGTTTTCAATAAAAAAAAGTCGCACTCAGTGCGCATTAGTGCAGGCTACCGAATTCACCGTTAGGACGCGTTGGAGCGAATAGGAGCATGTTGTAGCATGCGACGCGAACAAACCTATGCACAAACTACTTACAGTCAGAGTTGCAAGATCGAGCAGAGAGCAACGAGAGATCGAAGCGGTGGAGGTACGCACACAAGCGAGAACCACCGTGTGCGCACACTTTTGTAATTTTTACTACACTGCGTGATACAGAATCAACCCCCTGAACGTGCTGTATCTATATTTACGGTACTGAGTAGCGGCGGGGCAGTATTCCCACTTTGACCGCTTTTCCTCCCTTATGCGCGAGTAGTGTTCTATTCTCTCATTGAACCGAGTATATATAGCGTACAAAGCTGTGATTATAAAAATATAGACTGCCAGTAGCTAACTTCACGTCGGAATCTAAAATGTGTCGCGCTATAGATGACCAACGGTCAACGTAAGAACTAATCAAAAGAAAGGAGTTGTATCGTGTTTACTCTATTTTTTCAGTTTTTTGACATATTCCGCGTATTGTTTATAATAGATTTTTATACAAAGGTAGTAAAATGGTAATATCAGAGAGAAGCCTGAGAGCGGCCACGGCCATAAAGCCTGTTCTACATTGATCGCAAGCGCAAACGCAAGGAACAGGTCTGGTAGAATTGACTAATCGTATTGATCAAATCAGCCAGTTGACCAGCGTGATTGGTCAATTCTACGAGATTTATACCTTGCGTTTGCGCTTGCGATCAATGTAGAACGGGCTTTATGGCTATGGCCGCTCTCAGGCTTCTCTCTGCTATCGATAAGTGGTCACTCGATCGATATGAATCTACCAATACACATTTACAAAAATGAGTAAAAAGCGATAAAAACTAAAATATTAAAAACAATTTGTGCAGAGAGATTTGGTCATTATTATTCGAATATCTCTGATATATCTGTATTTAAAAAATTGAAAAATATCGGAAATTGTATAGTCACTGTGGCGTCATCTGTAGTAGCGTTGCCGTTATTCTTATTGTTCATATGATAAGAAAGAAAATTGATATATCTATGCGTAAGACTGTACACAGAACGTTTAATTAAATATATATGCGATGTACCACTAAATGTTGTGACGTGTTACATATATATGTATATATTTTAGTTTTTTCCAACAAATTACTCAGCAGGTTGCGTGTCGCGTGCAGCGAGAAAACGGCAGGTAAATAATCACGATTTTGTACAATTTTCGAATAAGTTTAGTCTTCGTCAACGCTTATGTTCTAGGATTTAGGTTAGGTTAGGATTATATATAGTCATGTTGCAACTTGCGAAGTCGATGCTTTTCCTTAACAATATGCAATATATCGCGTAAATAGTGAAAAACATTTTTTGAAAACAAAGTTTTTTTTCACTTTTTAGTGTGTAGTAAGACTACGATTTACGTATACATATAGGGTAACTGTCCCTATTAGTGTGCTGTTAAGCAAGCGTGCTCTCTTTTTTGAATAAATACTCAATTAACTGACTTCAAATGAGCTTACTCAAAATTTATATCGATTCTTTAAACTCTTCTTTTGACAATAAGATTTGTATTAGCCCAAA